TCCGAAATTCCAAACCCCAGGCTCCTTAGACTAGACAGAACGCTGTGTGAAGAGGGCTCACAGGGCGGGGGCACAGTCCCTGGTGCCCTTTGGCAGTGATCTCTGGAGCAAGAGCCCATTCAATAGGGGCAGTGACTTCTGGAACCTTCCCTGTCAACTGTTCCCAGGCAGCAAGAGGCTTGTGGCCATGAGTCGGCTTGCTCCAGTCCCACAGCTCTTTCTCTCGAATGGCTGGGGGCACCCATTGCCTGAGGGCTTTTAATGTCAGTGAAATACAGCTGTTCCAGGAGCAAGTGGCTCAGAAGGACCTGGTGCACAGCCTGCTCTGTGTGCTGAATTCTCTGCAGGATCAACTACTGTTTTCCTCGCTCCATTTCTGGTCCAGTGATAATAAATAGTCTAATACGGAGGAGTGGAGTGTGTGTGTGTGTGTGTGTGTGTGTGGGTGTGTGTGTGTGTGTGTGTGTCTGGGGGGGCAAGTGGCTGCTGTGACTCTACAGAAGACCCCAGCTTAAAGTTTTCTGCAGATGGAGGCATGATGTTTCAAGAGAAAGTTTTCACAGTATGTATCAGTGCATGATTTCATATTACTTTGAAAATCCAAAAATAGAGGAAAGTGGAGGGAAAAAGTTACAGACACCCACACATCCATCCCACTCCCCTCCTCATCCCCACACAGTGGTAATCATTAATTTTTTAAATATCTTTATTGTTTTTTTTATTATTCTAAAAGTAGCACACCCTCAGTGTAGATAATTTAGGGGGGGAGAAAAAGACAGATTTAAGTTGCCTGTAATTTTCCGTGTAGCAGTAACTCCTTTGGAGTGCTCCCTTTGGATCTTTTTTCCCTGTATAGTTATTTTACATAGCTCTTCAGGTCACAAGGGAAATGGAAAGGCAGATGTACTTGCACTGGCAGCTTCTTTTCATATACATATTCAGGCAGCACAAGGGCCCCTGTCTTTCTATTTACATCTTTTAAAAATGGAGCCGTTAGGATTCATCACCTATCTGATTTCATCCTAGCATTCCAGACAGTTTGAGTGTTGCTGTTCTGGGTTACAGAGCTTTGCATTCTTGGATGCCTACTGAGAAAGACAAATGATAATAAATACAAATGCGGGCAAAGGAAAGTGCTGTTTTTGTTCAAAGGGACAGTCCCTCCCCCAGGAAAGCATGTAGGGGCCAGGTCTAATGCCTTCTTAATCACCCTGTGCTCTTGAGACCAATTAGGATACAAGACAAGTGGCCTAGAAGGTCAACTCGAAAAGTCATCGGTTACCTTGCTACGTAGTTAGAGCAAACTTAAAAATCCTTAACTCTCTCCTTCTGGAGTTGCAGCAATTACTGTCAGTAGAAAAGAGAAGAATGTTTACATGATTCGTTTTACTAACTGGATGACTTCCCTAAGTGGACAAATGTACAATTGATTTGGATTTGCATGCCTTGTAGTTGTATTTATGGTGGTTAGGTGCTGTTCCATGACAATTTCCCATTGCCTCTGAATTTTTGTAAACTCCAGATGAGCTCAGACCTCCTGTGGATTGTGGTGGCTGAGTTGTGGTCAGGCTAACTGCATAGAGCTCTGTATTTCTTTTCAAAAGGTCAGCCACTGGTGTGAAGCAGGAATCTACCTCTTCTTCCCAAGCATTTCTTTTCAAAAGGTCAGCCACTGGTGTGAAGCAGGAATCTACCTCTTGGCTTCCCAAGCTGTAGACAAGTGCCAGTCGCGAGAGGGGGTTGACGTTGCCTTGAATGACATTGAGGAATTCCTGGACACAGCAAAGGAGTACCAGTTGCCCAGCCCCAAGGAATTTCACAACCAGTTTGAGTTGATGCTCACCCTTGATGTGAAGGTAATGTTGCAGGGTTATTTTGATTTTGTGGTTGGGAAGGAAGCATTGGGGGGAGCAGGGTCTGCCTATTGCCTAGGAAAGTCCAGATAGGATGTACTAAGCAGGTTAACCAGTTCTTGAACCCCTAGGTGGCCTCTTAGACTCCTGGCAAACTGCTTCCTGGAAAACTGACCCTTTATGGTCTGACTCAAATATCACCTTCTATCATTCATTTTTCTACAAATCCTTTATGAGCCTCTCCGATGTAGCACGCACTGTGCTGAGGACACGATGAACAGAAATAGACGTGGTTCCATCCCTCATGGAACTTATAGTTTAGTGGGACAGGCTGAGAATAATAAATGTCAGACACAAAACACAAAAAAGTGTTCCCAGCTGAGAGCTGGGATTCAAGGTCTTATTGAGCATGGGACAGAAGAACTTGACCTGGACTGGGGTCATTCGAGCCAAGGCCTGGAGAATGAAATAGAAGATGGGAGATTCTTTCCAGACAGAAGGAACAGCATGTGCAGAGGCCACAAGGCTTAAGTGAGCCTGGCACAAGTACAGAACCCAAATATCAGGGTGGCTAGAGTACAGAGAGCAAATGAAGATTGTTTGGCATGAGATTAGAGAGGGGCAGACAAGATGGGCCTTTGTGAGCCATATTAAGGAATTTGACCTATATTCTAAGAGCAGCGGGAAGCCACTGCAAAATTTTAGCAGGGAAATAACTTGATTGGATTTACATTTTGAGAAGCGCACTCTCCTGTGCAGCCAGTGAAGTTACGGATAGCGCACTTTCCTCTGAGATCCACACCTCCCTGTATATACCTCTGCTGTAATGGCTTCTTTACCTCTTTTGAGTCATGGACTCTTGAGAATCTGGTTCACCTATTTTTAGGGTTCTACACACTCAAAGTGATTAAAAGGAGTTTGATGTAGGTACCTTTTACAAAAATATGGGCAGGATTTAGGGAACCCAACAGAGATGGTGAAGCACATTGGGGGCTAGCAAGAAACAAGGAGTGGTTATTACACCAAATTCTGAAAGACAGAGGGGACTCAGGAAGTGCTACAGATGTGACTGTAAGAGAGGTAGCTAGTAAGGGCTGTGGCCTTTGGTAGAGGAATGCAGCCACTAATGGAGAAATATATACCCCTACTCTTCTCTCTCCTCTTGGATTTGGTGGTGCTTCCCATTGGCCAGTGCCAACTAAAAGCCCACAGGCAAATAAACTCATCTGACAGAGTCTGTATAGGTCAGCTTCCTGGGACATAGAGCAGGGCAGAGAAGATATAGTTGTGTGTGTGTGGTGTTGGGGGGGTGGGGCGGAGGACAGGGGGGACAAATAGGGAATACTCATCATATATAAATTTTTATAATTAATTTTAGAGGACACCTGAAGTCCATCCATGGACCCATGCTAAGAGCCTTTTATCTAATATGACACATACCAGTTATTTAATTTTAATGTCTGTCTTGCTTATTATACTGGGAACTCCTGCAGTGTAGGAGCCTCATCCATCGCTGTGGCCCTGTGCCTAGCCTGTGCCTGGGGTCCAATCTATGTTTGTTGAACAGTGGGCAGGCAGGTGGCAGAGTGGACGGCAGTGGGGCCAGCTCAGTATGAAATCGTACCTGAGAGGTCTTCCCCTGACTCCTCCCGGTGAGTTTGGTAGGAAGGTGTGATCTTGGGGCAGTGCAGAAGGTGTTTTGGGCAGACCACCTTCCCCACCTCAGGGACCCTTCTACTTCCCTGCAGAGGGTATGACTGGAAGGCCCATCTGGTGCAGGAGTTATACTGTGCACCCAGTACTGGAAGCCCCAAGTCAGATTCCTAAGGCAGAGCAGTCTCATCCAGCTCTGACTTCATTAGATATTCAAGTAAGTGTATCAGGTCAACCAGGGAGACCAGTGGCCACAGCTGCCGTTCTGGCCAAATTCAGCAAACGTCTTGACCACCCACCAGGAATTAAATAAAACTTAATAAAACTCAGAGAAACAGGGAGAAGCATGGGATAAGGAAAAGATTAAAAGAAAACATATGTTTTTTAAACAATCCTATATGTAAAACAGATCAAAATATTCCCAAAGCGCATCTATTCTTTTGGTTGGAAATAAAATTCTAGATTACAAGACTAAATATCCTATTGTGTCAGAGAAAGTTTTGTCCACTGAGAGGTAATGACTTTATTGTCAAAACTTATAATTTACATATATAGAAATATTCCAAGATATATGTATACACACAGGTTGGGATTGACACATGTATCTCCTTACTTGGACAGTAGAGAGGGCCTAAAAGCAATGAGACCCCCAGTGTCAATGAGCACACCTAGCACCCAGATCTTGGTTCCTAATACCATTCTCCAATAAAAGAGACCCAGACTCCTTGGAGAAATGGCTGATTCTAGGACTGGAGCAGGAACTATACAAGATGATCCTAGTGCCAGAAAGTAAGGAACTGCTAAAAACAAAACAAACCACAGTGATGGGACATAGGAGGCAATTGAAAGAGCTCCCCATGGTCAATGCTGGAACAATTTGAGCAACTAAATTAATAAAGTAGTGTTGGATTACAACCCAAAGTATAAAGTAGATATCCATGAATCCATACTGATGGAATAAATGAATGAATGAATGAATGAATGAATGGGGGGTGGGAGAGAGGAACCTAATCTCGTACAAAAGAATTCCAAATTAGGTAGCTACTTTGCCCTCAAGCAGGTGGAACAAAACTTCCCCATCCTGAAGTGTGGATTGTACATGATGACTTCCTTCCAAAGAGTACAGTGTGAGAAGAGAGAAATAAAAGAATGACTTTACAGTGGAGAAAACTAACACATACTACCTCAGCCAGGTGGTCAAGTTTAACAGCAACAGTAATACCCTTGATATGATGTGATGAAAATGGCACTTTACGTCGGTGGTCTTCCCCCTAAAAAAATCACAAGTTTAGACTAATCACAAGAAAAACATCAGATAAGTATAAACTGAGGGACATTGTACAAAATACCTAAGCAATACTCTTCAAAATTGTCAAGGTCATTAAAAACCAGGAAAAGCTGAGAAACTGTCACAGCCTAGAAGAGCTGAAGTTATGACACCTAAATGTAAAGTGGTGTTCTGGATGAAAAAAGTCACATTAGGTAAAAACCAAGAAAACCTAAATAAAATATGTACTTTATTTAAGGGTAATAATTTATTTTAATAATAAAAACGATATATCAATATCAATTCATTAATTGTGACAAGTGTACAATAGTAATGTAAGCTGTTGATAGGAGAAACTGGGTGTGGTATATATGGGAATTCTGTACTATTTTGCCATTTTTCTGTAAATCTAAAACTATTCTAAAAGTTAAAATTTGTTTCTAAAAAAAAAAAAACAGGTGCTCTATGTCTAGAAGATTGAATCTATTACATTCAAGACATAAGGATTATCAAAAAGACATCAGCCATTAAACTGTTGTTCTTGTAGTATCCACCCTGAGGCTCGTCAAGGCTTTTCTCTAATACATGGCTATTGTGCTGACCCTCAGTGCTGCTGTTCTGACTTTTCTTCCTCATTCACTTTCACCAGTCAGTCTAGGGAATGAAACAATCTCAGTAGCAAATAGCAAAATTCAATTCTTCAAATATTCATTGGGTACCCAGTTTGTGCTTTATTCTGGGAATACAATAATGAAAGTCACAGTCCCTGCAATCATGATGCTGGCAGTGTAGTGGAAGAAAAACATGTCCCCAGGAATGCTTCTTGGTCCAAGAGCATATACAATGGAGGGACAGTGGGACACAATGGTCAGAATAGAGTATGAAGAGCCCGGTGCCCTAGGATGAGGAGTGGGGTGCCACTGCAGGGCTTTTAAACAGGGAGGTTACATGATCAGATTCACATTTCAGAAAGAGAGTTCCGATCGTGGTATGGAGAACGGATTTGCAAGTAAAAAGAGGAGAGAGGAAGGGGGAGATGCAGTTGTCAATCTCGTGCCAACCTCCCCCTCATCTAAGCTTAGGAATTTAGGGTCTCTTCTGACTGCTTCACCATTTTTAGGGTTCGCTCTGGGATCTTAAGGGATAGATGCAAAAGGGCAAAGGTGAGTCAAGTCCTGTCCAGTCCAAGTGGTGAGCATATGGCACAGACCTCACGCTAGGGCAGCACACCGTACATCACCAATTTGACAGTTGTTTGTTCAGTCAGATATTTTATCTTTGTGCAGCAATTAACACCCATGTCCCAATTTCCTCAAGCTTATCACTAGGCCAGAAGGGCAGGATGGTAGTGGCTGGTCACCAGGTCTTATCACCATTCCCCAAGGAATATAAGCTGACATTGTCATCATCTTGACATAAGGGAATTCGATTTCTTGTGGGACTTGGACTCATAGCTTTGTTATCAGAACCTCTAGTGCATGAGCTTCCTGAGGCTAGAAGCACATTCTCTGAAAAGACCCTTTAAACACAGACCCTGAGCTTAATCTAGACTCGGGGTGAGCAAACTGTAGCCTGTGGACCAAAGCGGCTTGCTTATGTAATTAAAGCTTTATTAGAACACAGCTACACTCATTCATTTCTATATTATTTATTATCTGTGACTGCTTTTATGCTGCAATAGCAGAGTGCAGTAGTTGCAACAGAGACTGAATGGTTTGCAAAGTCGGAAAGATTTATTGTTTGGTCCTTTACAGAAAAAGTTTGCCAACCCCTGTTCTAGACCAATGCTATCCAGTAGATATAAAATGCAAGTCACATAGGTGAGCTAATAAGATTTCTAGCAGCCACATTTTAAAAAGTAAAAAGAAATAAGTGAAATTAATTTGAATGTTTTATTTAACCTATGTCCAAAATATCATTTCAATATACAATAGATATAAAAAATTATAAATGAGATATTTTATGTTCTTTTTTCATGCTAAGTCTGCAAAATCCAGTGTGTATTTTATACTGACAGCACAGCTCAATTCAGGCCAGCTGCATTTCAGGTAGCTCAGTAGCTTCACGTAGCTAGTGGTTACTGTATGGACAGTGCAGGTCTGCACTCAGACCCTCCAAAGAGTGAAACCAGCCCCAGATCTTGGTGGAGAGATCAGCCTTGACAGGGCCCTAAGTCTGTAGGGGAACAGTTTTTCTGTAGCTGACACTTGAATCCTGTCTCAGGGATATTGGTTATTTCCCTCAGAAGATGGTCCAGCATAAAAAAAAGACATTTACTTTTTCAGCTGCAAAGGTGGCAGCCTTCTTCGGTGTGAGGTGAGCCCGTACATCCTCAGAGCACCCTGCATGGCTAAAGTGCTTCAGCTCTTTTAATTCTGGGTCTCTTCTTTGGTGGTTAAAATCATCCACAAGATAGATGTCAGCATGACAAAGAAAAGGCTATCCACTTCCCTTGATTTACCGGAACTGGAGGGATGTTATGCTGAGAGCAAGGTCAGAAGAAATATATTCAGCTGAATTCAGGCCTTGGTGAAACTCAAAGACATCTAGGTCTTGTTTCTTATTCTCCTGAATCTCTGCCTTAGAGCAGGGGTCCCTAACCCTGGAGCTGTGGACCAGTAATGGCCCTTGGCCTGTTAGGAACCAGGCTGCAGGGCAGGAGGCGAGCAAGCAAAACTTCATCTGTATTTGCAGCAGCTTCCCAGAGCCAGCATCACTGCTTCAGCTCCACCTCAGATCATCAGGCATTAGATTCTCATAGGAGCACTGGTCCCTGGTGCCAAAAATGTTGGGGACCGCTTTAGTTATCTCATGTTTCTGTGCCTTGATTTCCCGGTCTGTAAAATGGAGATAAAACTGCAGATCTCTCAGAGCTATTTTGACGAGTCCGTGCTTAGGAATTTAGGGTCTCTTCTGACTGCTTCACCATTTTTAGGGTTCACTCTGGGATCTTAAGGGATAGATGCAAAAGGGCAAAGGTGAGTCAAGTCCTGTCCAGTCCAAGTGGTGAGCATATGGCACAGACCTCACGCTAGGGCAGCACACCGTACATCACCAATTTGACAGTTGTTTGTTCAGTCAGATATTTTATCTTTGTGCAGCAATTAACACCCATGTCCCAATTTCCTCAAGCTTATCACTAGGCCAGAAGGGCAGGATGGTAGTGGCTGGTCACCAGGTCTTATCACCATTTCCCAAGGAATATAAGCTGACATTGTCATCATCTTGACATAAGGGAATTCGATTTCTTGTGGGACTTGGACTCATAGCTTTGTTATCAGAACCTCTAGTGCATGAGCTTCCTGAGGCTAGAAGCACATTCTCTGAAAAGACCCTTTAAACACAGACCCTGAGCTTAATCTAGACTCGGGGTGAGCAAACTGTAGCCTGTGGACCAAAGCGGCTTGCTTATGTAATTAAAGCTTTATTAGAACACAGCTACACTCATTCATTTCTATATTATTTATTATCTGTGACTGCTTTTATGCTGCAATAGCAGAGTGCAGTAGTTGCAACAGAGACTGAATGGTTTGCAAAGTCGGAAAGATTTATTGTTTGGTCCTTTACAGAAAAAGTTTGCCAACCCCTGTTCTAGACCAATGCTATCCAGTAGATATAAAATGCAAGTCACATAGGTGAGCTAATAAGATTTCTAGCAGCCACATTTTAAAAAGTAAAAAGAAATAAGTGAAATTAATTTTAATGTTTTATTTAACCTATGTCCAAAATATCATTTCAATATACAATAGATATAAAAAATTATAAATGAGATATTTTATGTTCTTTTTTCATGCTAAGTCTGCAAAATCCAGTGTGTATTTTATACTGACAGCACAGCTCAATTCAGGCCAGCTGCATTTCAGGTAGCTCAGTAGCTTCACGTAGCTAGTGGTTACTGTATGGACAGTGCAGGTCTGCACTCAGACCCTCCAAAGAGTGAAACCAGCCCCAGATCTTGGTGGAGAGATCAGCCTTGACAGGGCCCTAAGTCTGTAGGGGAACAGTTTTTCTGTAGCTGACACTTGAATCCTGTCTCAGGGATATTGGTTATTTCCCTCAGAAGATGGTCCAGCATAAAAAAAAGACATTTACTTTTTCAGCTGCAAAGGTGGCAGCCTTCTTCGGTGTGAGGTGAGCCCGTACATCCTCAGAGCACCCTGCATGGCTAAAGTGCTTCAGCTCTTTTAATTCTGGGTCCCTTCTTTGGTGGTTAAAATCATCCACAAGATAGATGTCAGCATGACAAAGAAAAGGCTATCCACTTTCCTTGATTTACCGGAACTGGAGGGATGTTATGCTGAGAGCAAGGTCAGAAGAAATATATTCAGCTGAATTCAGGCCTTGGTGAAACTCAAAGACATCTAGGTCTTGTTTCTTATTCTCCTGAATCTCTGCCTTAGAGCAGGGGTCCCTAACCCTGGAGCTGTGGACCAGTAATGGCCCTTGGCCTGTTAGGAACCAGGCTGCAGGGCAGGAGGCGAGCAAGCAAAACTTCATCTGTATTTGCAGCAGCTTCCCAGCGCCAGCATCACTGCTTCAGCTCCACCTCGGATCATCAGGCATTAGATTCTCATAGGAGCACTGGTCCCTGGTGCCAAAAATGTTGGGGACCGCTGCCTTAGAGCACATCGTCAGTTATGGGAACACCTGTGAGTTTCATCTCTCCCCTGGTATTTCTTCAGTTTATTTCTACTTGTATATGAAGGAGTCACACAGAATAACATTTAAATGTGTAGCCTTTTTATTACAGGTGTTTGTGGTTTCCTTCATCCTGCTTCAGAATTTAGCCAACTCTTTCCTCCAGAACACTTGAACTCTTCTAAACCCAGTAGGGCCTTTATTCAGGGTACATTTCTTATTTTTAAATTCTCTTGTTTGGTAAGTTGGCCCAATGCCTTTCATCCATGGCCTATGGCATCCTTTTCTACCATGAATGGACAAGGCTTAATGAACATTTTCTCACACAACATATATTTACGGAGCAGTACTCGATGCTAGGCAGTGTTCCAGGCACTGGAGATACAGCAGTGAGAAGGATATAATCATTGCCACTCAAGTGGGAGATGCAGATTCTTAGAAGCACAATTCTGGTGCAAGGCAAGACGTGCGATGACTTGCATATGGATGCCCAGAGCTGTGTCATCTGAAAGAGGTTAAGGGTATGGGGAGGAGGGAAGATGGTTGAAACAGAATGCATCATGTCCTCAGGCTCAGTGCAGAGTGATCTGCTCATGATTTGGTTTGTTCCTGCAGGCCAAAGCCCAGAAAGTCCTGCAGAAGCTGGGTGATGTACAGGAAATATTTCGCAAGAGGCAAATGAGTCTGATGAAACTGGCAGCCAGACAGACTCGCCCAGTGCAACCTGTGGCTCCCCATCCTGAATCCTCCCCAAAATGGGTGTCACCAAAAACCAGCCAGCCCTCTGCCTCAGGTAGGTAATTTGGGCAAGAAAGCTTTGTGTTTCATCAGTGCTCATGAGGCTGAAGATTGTGGTTGTTTAAGATGCATAATGGTTGTTGTTTTGACAGATATTATTTAAAACAAACAACAGAAATGAAATAGTGCAGGCACTGAAGACTGATAAAGTTCAATAAAACTGAGTACCTGGATGCAAGGTAAAGCTCACAGTCTAGCAGAGGAATAATATAAGTGCATAAATAACATTAGCATAAAAGACTTCATTAAGGACCTTTAAAAGTCTTACTAGATACTATTAGCAATGGAGTAGTAAAGTTGTTTCTTTGAAAAGATTTTTAAAAATAAGTAAGTCCTTACACCAATCCCACATGGTCTTAGTTTATTACTAAGCCTTGAGATCAAGTAGTGTAAGTCTTCCAACTTTGTTCTTTTTCAAGATTGTTTTGGCTATTTTAGGTCCTTTTCATTTCTATATGAATTTTAGAATCACCGTTTGATTTCTGCTAGGATTATGATTGAGATTGAACTGAATATATAGATTAGTGTGGGAAGAACTGTTATACCAATATTGAGGGTTCCAATTCATAAATATTATAACTCTCCATTTATTTAGGTCCTCTTCAACTTCTCTTGGCAATATAGCAGTTTTGAGTGTAAAGGTCTTAGGCATTTCATGTTTTTTAACCCTACAGTAAATAGAATTACCATATATAACTCTCAATAGGAATATATTTCTGTATAGAAATACAATCATGTCATCTGTAAATGGGATGATTTTCCTTCTGTTTCAATCTCTCTGCTTTTTTCCTCTTGCCTTATTCTAATGGCAGAGACCTTCAAGATGATGTTGAATATAAGTGGAGAGCAGATATCCCTGTCTTTTCCTAATATTAAGGGAAATAGTTCATGTTTCACTTTGAAGTATGATGTTAGTAGTAAGTTTTCACAGATACATTTTATCAGGTTGAGGATGTTCCCTTCTATTCCTAGTTTGATGAGAGTTTTCATCATGAATAATCGTTGAATTTTTCAGATGCTCTTTTTGGTGCTATATATTGAGATGATCATATGGTTTTCTTTTTTTTGTTGTTGTTAATACGGTGGATTACAATGATTTATTGTCAAATGTTAAAATAATCATACATTCTTGGGATAAACTGCTCTTGGACATGATGTATGTGTTATTTATTGCTTCATGTATTTTGAAACTCCATTAATAAGCACATGCATACTCAAAATTGTTATATCTTCTAGATATGCTGGTCCTTCTATTATTATGAAATGTCTTTCCTCTCCTTATGTTTAGTAGAACTCTTTGTTTTGAAGTCTGTTTTGTCTGCTATTAGTACAGCCATTCCAGCTTTCTTATGCTTACTTAGTGCTTGCCGGATATACTTTTTCCATTCCTCTACTTCTCTTTCTTATTTTAAAGTATATTTCTTATAGGCCGCATATAGTTGGATCTTGCCTTTTTAATATTTTCTGTTAACTTCTGTCCTCTAATTGGAGTGTTTATTTACATATAATGTAATAATTGAAATAGTTGGATTTAGAGCTACTATTTTGTTAATTGTTGTCTATTTGTCTCATATGTGTTTTTTATTCCTCGGTTCTTCCTTTCCTGCCATCTTTTGGGTCAAATTTTTTTAGTATTCTGTTTTTATTCCTCTATTGGCTTTTTAGCATACATATCTCTTTGCATTATTTTTTCCCAGATATTTCTCCTAGGGATTACATATCCATTCTTAATTTATTGCTATCTACTTGGAGTTAATATTATAGCACTTTGTGTAAATATGATTTGTGTAATATATAATGTATGTAATATAGGAAATTTGCAATGATATGCTTTCACATGCCTCCCTCACCCATTCTCTGTGCTATTCTTATCATAAATATTGCATCTACATATGTTAAGTCCCCAAATATTGTGTTATAATTTTTGCTTTAAACAATCACATAACCTTTAAAAAAATTAAGAGAAAAGAAGAAAAAAGAAACAATATATTCTTTTATATTTACCCTTCTTTCACCATTTCTTGTGTTCTTTATTCCTTATTGTAGATCTGAATTGCCATCTTGTGTCATTTCTATTCAGGCTGAAAAACTTCCTTGTTGGGCAACAAAATTTTCAATTGTTATTTGTCTGAAAATGATGAGATTCTTTGGTAATTTTACATTTAGTGCAATTTATAGTCCCCTGTCTCTTATCATATATTTAACTTTTCAAAAGTAAGCCTTGATAACAGTTCAGTGCATTTCTTTCCTGAATTTTTCTATGTGCACACACACACACGCACTCAATACACACATACTTACACACGCACAGTCAGACACACTTATACACACATACCATAGATACACACAAATACTTAGACAAGTAGAGAAATTCTTCTCTAATGGCTTGGTTCTCCTGACCTCTCGAAAGCTCTTTCCCCAAACTAAGTTATGTCCACTTCAATGGCTTTGCCTTTCTCATTGTTTTAAGGGATGTATATGTCTATTACAAGTAAATAAAGCAAGAATGATGGATTGTTTCTTGGCTTTTCAAACACATGATTTCATAATAGGTAATGACCCTCCTAGGGTAAATAGATCATCATGTTTGAACAGATATCATTGACCTTAGTGAGGCAGCTAGCTCGTTTTTGCAGAACAATCCTATACTTTTGTTTTGGAGCATAACCACTGAGTGTGGACTCAGGCAGGTCACTAACAGGATTTACAAACATATTTGTCTGATTACTTAGTAACTGAGTCTGTGCCAAGATAAACTATTATATTTCTCAGTGTAAGGTACATGGGCAGAGAGCTTAGAGATGAGAGCCGGAATGTCAGCTCTGAATCTTGTTAGCTATGTATCTTGGGTACAACATTTAATCTCTTTGAAGTTTGTAAGAAATGTGAAAAAAATTTAATTCCATGTGGCTGTAATAATATCTAAAATGTCCTGAGTGCTTACAATGATCCAAACATTTTATATATATTAACTCATTAAAGCTTCATAGCAACCCAGTCCTATAGGCTTTCTTATTATTCCCCACTTTCCAGATGAAGAAGCTAAGGCACAGAGATTTCTCTGTAATGTGTCTCATCCATGAACGAGCAAGACTCGAAAGCTGGCAGTATGGCGCCCACAGTCCTGCCTTTAATTTTGCCACTGTACTTAATAGTGTTAAGGGCAGGTGCTTCTCAGTCATGGGCGTCACCAATTACAGAGTATGCATTTCTAGTATCGAGGTATTGTACCTGGAATCACTCAGCTTACAGAGATACTGCAGAAAGTGAGGAGACCAAAGGACTGTCCGTTGTTATAAAGTAGCTTCAGTGGTCATATAACCTGGGGCAGCAAACCCTGTACTTCACTATAGATTTTAACATAACCTCTATGAAAAATACCATAGAAAGCCCAGCTGCTTCCATTTGGCTCACAGAATCTGGGGGATTTGAGAGGCCTCTGGAAGTTAGATGGTCAACTTCCATCAAGACAACTACAAATAAAAATCAAGGTGCTATATCGATGGCATTAGATGGATGGCATTTTGGCCATGCGACCTAGAAATGCTCAAATCCTGTCTCAAGCTAATCATATGTATTCTGTGAGTTTCCCAAGGGAACTATATATACAAGAGTAGTAACAGTGACAAAGAAGAACTTGAAGTACAACTTCCTTATTAGTCTTGTAGCCATCATGCCCAGTGTAGCTTTCTGGTAAAGCTGGGTTAGAAAGCCTCAAGATCCAACCAGGGCTTCTCTTCTCCAAGTACTACTCTTACTACCAATGGCTATGGAGCCTGAAGAAAGGATTTTTCCCAGGTATCTGAGAACCCTGTGGGAAGGGGAGCAGGGAGACAAAATGACAAAGAGAAGAGAGAAAGAGCAAAAAAGCCCAATTCCCTTCTGACTCAGCCGCCTGATTCTTCCCTCCATCATATACACTAATAAATGTGCTTCTCTCAACTATGGAATCCGACTGTTAGATCCTCAGATTAGCAACAACTTTTTCTGACTAAGGCACACACAGACATCCCCTTCTATAACCATAGCGTGAGAGTGTGTGTGTGTGTGTGTGTGTGCATGCGTGTGCATGTGTAAGGAAATATACCAAGTGGCTGTATTTAAGTTGTAAGATTTTAATGTTTTTCAAATTTTCATAATAAGCACAAATTAGTTACCATATAAGGAATATGTAACACATACAATAGACTGTGGTACCTAGAATTGAATCTGGTCTTCTAATCCAAGAATAACACCAAGTGCAATATTTTACAGTACAAATGATAAATGCTCAAGCAGTAGTGCATAAAAGAATCCATGAAGTTTGAAAGTCAGAGGACTTCACAAAGAGAGTGACTCTTTAGCTGGACTTTAAAAATGGGAATGATGGAAACACTATCACTTTTACCACATTACGTTTACTGATTTGTTGTGTTTTGATATTTCATGTGGTATTGGATATGACTTTTATCTCTTCAGATCAAATGTCAAGTGCCTGGGGTAAAAGACTGTATTTCATTTCTGCATCTCCCCTTCACCTCTAGTTGCATCCACCACCTTGGAAGTCACCACAGCAGCTCAATTTAGCTTTTATAATCAACTGCCTCAACACAGTCCACTTGCTTGTCCAAGTCAGGCTAAGCACTCTGAATTATTTATAAGCCAAGTCGCCAAATCAATGGCTGGTTTTCTTTGACCCTCTAGGTCTTCTTCAGAAAACATCTGAAGAACCTTATGCAGAGACAGATGCGAACTCCCTGGAAAAGGAAGATGATGAGACTAAATTCGAAGGCAAGGTAAGATCACCTTCCTTTTACTGATGGAAATTTTCAACATGAGAGACTATTGCTGCCATAATTATCAGTAAATCAAGTTCCCCTATTTCATACCTATAACCTTCAGAAAATGTGCCCATGAAGGCATGTAGCATAGACTAGTGCTCCCGAGAGCTGGGGTTTGTAGGATTTCTTCCTTTTCTTTCTTCTTAGTTGTAACTAGATATGAAAAACTGTTTGGTCGTATACATAATTATTGGTAGATACTGTTTTATTGAAGGAAGTCTTTTAGTCATTCCTATAATCTGACTTTATATTTAAAATTAGTAGAACAGTGAGTAGTTTATGTATAAAAAGCACATGACAAAATTTCATAGAGCTACACACATGCGCACACACAAACAGTGCATGTAAAACTGGTGAACTTTGAATAAGCTCTGTGGATTGTGCCAATGTCATTTTCTTGGTTTTAATATTATACTCTATTTGTGTAAGATGTTGACATTGGAGTGACTGGGAAAAGGGTACACGGAATTCTCTGTGTGTTTCTTTGCAGCCTCATGTGAATCTATAAATATTTCAAAATAAAAGTTAAAAAAAAAAGATCATAAGCTTTGAAATCAGGCAGACGTGGATTTAAGCAATATAACCTCTCTACACCTCAGTTTCTCATCTGTAAAAATGGGCATAACATCACTGCCTCCTAAAACTGTTTTGAGCATCAAATGAAAATTTGAAAATTACCAAGCACTGTATAATTGTAAAGTAACATTATATTTAAAAACCCAGATAAAATGAATTATAAATATATAATGCTGCAAAGCAACCCAAGATGGGTCCCCTTTCCCCTGCCTCACTGAAAATTAAATATCTGGCAGACTGAATGGTTCTAAACTAGATAGAGGCCAGAAGGCCATGGGCTCAAATGCACTGCAGCAACAGTTCAGATCCATCATCAATTCCTAATGTGTCCGAACATAGGACCCCAGAGAGACTCCACTGACCATCAAGGAGCCAGGCAGAAAGCAAGTCTTAGGCTTTTCTTCCTGGAGGCAGAAATATTGTGAGAACTAGAGTTGCCAGCAGACTTAGAGAAAGAAAGCTGCATTATTCTGTAATGTGTTTAGACATCCTGCTGTATTCTGGGCGGATTAGGACATCGTCATGGCTGTTTCAGAATGCCTCATGTTTGGAGGAATTGTACCACACATCTTCCTAAGTTAGGAAACAGTCTGCAATTTATAAGTCTTGATTAGCCATTTTAAAGAAATAGCAATTTTTGGAAATGGCTAAATGTAATTAAAATTCATCTGACTTGATGTCTAGGAAGTCTGTGGAATCATTAAATGACATTAAAAAAAAGGGAGGGGGGGATTTAAACTGAGCATCACCGTAATCTTTTGTTATCACGGGCTTCAGAGAATGTCAAGCACATGGGAGCCCAGATCTAGCCTCTGAACTCAAGCCATTTTTATTGACTCATGATGTGATCTGAACTCACTTCATATCTCTGTGACTTCCTTTGCCCATCTTAGACAAGATATTTATGACCTTATTTATGACTTTAATAAATATCTTAGACAAGATATTTATGACCTTATTTATGACTTTATAACAATGCCATCAGAGCTGTAAGTAGGTGGAGCTTCTCATATATTAGAATCCGAATTAGAGTGAATTATTTCAATAATTGTGGACAATAAAAATAAGTGCTACTGCTTTATTTGTCGTAAAAAATAGAGATGTAGTTAATAAACATAAAGCACCTTTCCTCAGGGAAGAGTTTAAGGTATTTAAGACAAAAGGTTTTCGTAGCTAGATTTATTATTTACTCCTGTTTTACACATTTGTAAAAATAGACACTGCAGAAGCAAAGGAGGGGTTGGAAAATGTTGAGTAGAATCCAGGAAGCTCTGACAACCAGACGTTGGTTTCTTCCTTCTGCAATTATTTAATTCAGACTCTAAACTCATCCTGCTAAACTGCTAGGTCCCTCTGTGTTTTGGATCACCAACAGAATAGGTGCTATTAAACAGGCACAAGTCTGTTACAATTATCCTTCTGGGTTTCTGTTGTTGTTGTTGTTGTTTTTTTCCTTACTGTTACTTTGTTTGTGTATTTAATGAAAGACTTTCCACAACAACATTTATATTAACAGTCAAGGTGGTAGAGGAAACTGGGTAAGAACAGAAGCTGCCAGACTTCCTCAGTTTGGCAGACAGAAGCTGGTCAGACTTCTGCTTCTAACGACCAAGGCTGTGAGAAGCAGTGTGAGCAGAATCCATACAGTCATGAACAACATGATTAGGAAGAAAAGACGTATATGCACTAAATCCCTAAGTCCTCGACTTAGGAATCAATTTAGGATTAATAAATGTAATTTATTGTTACATTGGTTAGAATAACAGGAAAAGCATCATTCTAAAGTACATAAGAAAACTAGTAAGAAAAAGGTAGGTTAGAACAAAACGCTTAAATTTATGTCTGCATGGTCCATTAATTGTTAAGAAGGGGACAAGGAAGTTGACTGACATCAAGAACAATGACTGCTGCTTGTGATTCTGGGTGACAATTCTGACATCTTTTTGGCTTTCAGCCTAGAATTCGAAGATGACGTGAAACTACAACCAGTCTAGGAGAGCAAATCATAACATTGTGATAAATGCGCCTCCTTGCCCTCAAGAATAAATGCATACAGGAAAAAAAAAAAGCTGTAAAATGAAACCTTTCATAATTGCTACTAGAGTCATTCACTACCTGCAACAAAATCATAAGATGATTTTATCATTACCAGAGTACTCATTTAAAAAAAAAAAAGGCGTTCTGTCTTCCTGGTGGGGTGATCCTTGTTGTTCCAGTCTACAGAAACTTGGCAAACTGAATGTAACAAGGCCGCTGCGATTCTCAGGATCATGTGGCAGGCATGTGGCCATGTGCTGGGCTCACTGACATGGTCTGGGAAAGCCCAGCTGTAGAAAGGTGAAGATTCGCAGTGGTTGCTGGCAATAGTGATGTTGCCAGCTGGAAGCTGAAAGCATGACTCATAGGGACTGCTTTTCCCAGCTGCTCACATCACAGCCTCTTTGGAGCTGGAAAGAAGCCAGAGGTTGATGAGAATTCCCTTTTCCTGAATGAACCCTCAGGATGAAGGAAGAGCTACTGGCTACGAGTGCCAATGAACAGTGCTGTTCCTGTTAAACCACCTGTTAAAGTGGTTTAAAGTAGCAGAGGCCTTTTCAGGCTTCTGAGCAAACAGGCTCCTTCATAAAAATCTACCAAAACAAACAAACAAAGCCAAGACTAGAAGGGAACGGAGAGATGAGGGAAGTGTTGCTAATGCTGAGTGCCCGGTGCTATGTGGACCTGATTTCATCTCAAGTCCTCAGGACCTTGTGAGGAAGATGATGTATGTCCCTTGTTTTATCCCTGATGCTGTTGAAACTCTGAGGAGTTAAGGAGTTTTCCCAAGGGTCATATAACTAGTAAGTGGTGGAACTGGAATTTGAAACTAGCAGTTTACTTAATAGCAGTTTACTTAACTATCTAACTTAACCTATCTAAGAATTACTTATTTAATCTATCTAACTAGCAGTTTACTTAATCTCATACTCTAAATTTCCTCTTCTGCAAAATGATGATAAATAAGTAACCTTACAGGTGATCGATAAAATGAGAAATATGTGGAAAGCACCTAGCACGAAGCCTGAGATTGAGCACATTCTTAGTAATTTTAGTTTCCCATTTAGTCCTATTTTTATAGATAGGATGTTCTGTGTAAAAGATGAAAAGGAGCTGAAGAAAGGTCAGAGTCAGGTCTTAAATAGTTTCTCCTAATCTCAAATATGTACCATTTTGCCAAATGATAATGGATCAGGACCAAATTCAGTTCCTTGCTTTCTCACTCCTTTGAATACCACAAGCTTTCATTTACCTTTCTGATTCTCAACAAGAGAACTGTATGAACTGTAAGTATATTTCATTGTTCACCTTTTATGATGTTTGAAGCCTAGTCATTCTTAGAGCTGATACGAGATTTGGAAAATCCACCAAATTTTTTGGGGCAGCCCCTAACCAAGCTCTCTGAAGAATTTCTAGAATGAAGATTCTCAAGATTTCCTCCATACTGCAGTCTTGAGAACCTTATTAATAATGCAGATTCTCCGGGCCCATCCTCAGAGATTCTGATTCAGGAGATCTGGAGGAGGGGTCCAGGAATCTGAATTCTTAACTTGCACATTTGGTGACAAGAATGCAGATGGTACAAGGACAATGCTTTGGTCACATTGACCTAGAGGCTATATTCATAGGCCTATATTCATAGGAGTGAGGACTTGGGATAAAGGAAAATTCATTAAAGTGGATGTGGACCTTTTAGGCTAATACAAAGTCCAAAATTCAGGGGAGTGAGAGCATAATTATATTAATCTGTGAGAATGTATTTTCACTGAGCGAGCTAAAAAGAGGTAATAACAGTAAGACCACTGTTGGCTTTGTTCTTTGATCGATAAAAAATCGGCTTGACTCAAGTACTTGATAAGTCCAATTTGGGTAGTCTATTCAGCTCGATTTCATATATATCAAAGCAAGGCTACAGGCCATATGGAAACAATTCTAACATGGAGCCTAAACCCAGGAAATTGATTTAGAACTACAGACTTGCAAATCATCCTTAAAACATCATGATGTTTACAGTTTTTTAAGAAGATATTTCCCCATAAACAAAATATTATAATAAAGTGTTTAGAATATTATTCCAGCCTCTAAAAACCAATTTAACCAGTAAAAAAAACATTGAACTAATTACCAACAATGCTAGCTGGGAAATTCAAGATCTTAGATAAAAGAGAACCTGAAAAATTTTCACGATAGGCAAAGTTTTCATGTAGGACCCATTCCCCCATCTTCCTCTAATTATTTCTCACTTCCACAAAGCCTTAGGACCACTGAGGCCTATCTCCTCAAGCCAGCCCTTCTTTTTGAAAGGGCTTCAGTCTACAAAATGCCCCAAAACCTTCCTCTCC